CCGAAGGTGAAGAGATACTGTGGATATAAAGCACCCCATTATGGATGCAGCCCATCATCGCCTACTTGAAGGAGCAAACACTACCTGCTTCTAGAGGCAAGGCAAGGAAGTAAAGAAGAAGGGCTGCACACTTTGTCCTGCAAGAAGATACCCTTTACAAGAGAGGCTTCACCTCGCCGCTTCTTCGATGCGTAGGAGACGAAGAGGCCATATACATACTCAGGGAAATCCATGAAAGAATCTGCGGAAATCACTCAAGAGGAACGGCTCTGGCACACAAGGTTCTCCGTCAAGGCTACTTCTGGCCGACCCTGAAAAGGGATGCTTGCCAGTTTGTCCAGAAATGTGACAAGTGCCAGCGCTTCTCGAACATACAAAGACAGCCTGCTCAGAGCCTCTCCGTAGTAACCAGCCCTTGGCCGTTCACCAAGTGGGGCATTGACTTCATTGGTTCACTCCCAAAAGGGAGAGGATGTGCAACTGTCGCCATTGACTACTTCACTAAGTGGGTCGAAGTTGAACCCCTTGCTAGGATTACCGAGGCTAATACTACCAAATTCGTCTTGAAAAACATCATTTGTAGATTCGACATTCCCCACTCCTTAGTGTTTCATAATGGAAGGCAGTTCGGCAACAGGAAGATGCGAGACTTATGCGACGAACTGGGCATAAAGAAGGGCTTCTCGACACCTCATCACCCCCAAGCGAATGGGCAAGTTGAAACAGTGAACAAGACTATCAAACACACCCTGAAAAGGAAACTTGATACCTCAAAGGAGGCCTGGGTTGACGAACTCCCCCACGTCCTCTAGGCTATCAGGACTTCTTACCGGACTGCAACCAGTGAGACACCATTTTCCATAACCTATGGAGCCGAGGCCATGAGTCCGGTCGAAGTCGGGGTCCCATCACATCGACGGATACATTTCAATGAGATCAGCAACGACGAAGCTCGAATAAGCGAACTACACCTCCTTGAGGAAAGGAGAGATACCTCCCAAGTGAACTTGGCAAAGTATCATCAAAAGATGACCCGCTATTACAACTCCAAGGTCAGAAACAGAACTCTTCGCCTGGGCGACCTCGTCCTCAGAAGAGTCTTCCAATCTTCAAAACCAACTAGGTCAGGAGTGTTTGGCCCGAACTGGGAAGGCCCTTACCGCATCCACAGGGAATCCCGACCTGGTACCTTCGAAATCGAAGATATGGCAGGAAAGGCGTTGTCTCATCAGTGGAACATCGAACACTTAAGAAAGTACTATCAATGATGAGACTTTGTTCCGATCCGATCTCAATATGTTATAATGAATCGATTGTTCTCTCCAATCTCAATATGTTATAATGAATCAGTTGTTCTGATCTAATCTCAATTTTAAATTCCCTAAGTGCTGGAAGTGCCTTGGTAAAGGGTGGAATTTATCTCAAGTAATGAAGCTTCAGTTTCGAGCCACATCAGTTAGTAAATAGTTTCCTCAGTCCTTAAATAGGTTCATTTAAGCGATCCGATCTTCAATTATTAGCTGATTAACATTAAGGGGCTCTTCATGTTTTCTTAAATGGTCCGCTTCATATTAACTTAAGTGGTCCGATCTCAAATTGTTAACAGGTTAGCATTAAGAGTCGCTTCATACTGGCTTAAGTGATTCAACTTATATTGACTTGAGTGGTCCGGTCCGCAGTTATTAACTGGTTACTGTTACGAGGCAATTAGTCTGACGCTTGTCATTCATACAAGTATGAACAGATATAAAAGATAAAAAAGCAGAAGCACAAATACTTAGCAAGAATTTCATTTCATTGAATAAATTTAAGTACAAGGAGGCCGAAGCCATTACAAAGGGTAGCCCTACTCTGCTGAGGGGACTTCTACATCGGTCACCTCCTCCGGAGCTTCCTCGGTGAGCCTATCAGGCAGACCTCCAGTTGGCCCCCCGAACTTTGCCTCCAATGAGGAGATGTCCAAAGTGGGATGCACCTCCTTCAGTCGACCCAATAAGCTTTGGGCACTCCATGAGGCCCAAAAATTGACGAAGTCGTCATACAGGGGATGGTCTTCAAAGTGGTCGATGAAGTTCTGGACTCCCACCTCCCCTGCAGACTTCAACTCCTCCTTCAAAGAGGCAATCTCCTTTGACTGAGGCTCTGCCTTCTGCCTCAGCTCTGCCTTCTCTTTGTTGGAGACCTCCAGAGCCTCGGTGGCGAGCTTGTGGTGCTCATTGGCGTGATCAAGCCGCCGAGCCACAGCAGCCACTTGACACTCCACCTCGTACAACTCCTTCTTCAGCCGCTCCACTTCTACTTTGGCGACAGTTAGCTGGGCCTCAGCTTCCTTCTTCCCCTCCTCCACCTGCATGGTCTTGGCCTGGGCCGCTCGCACGACATCCCCGTAGTGCATCGGCTCCTCGAGGTGCTTGGCGAGGTCCTCCCTCTTGGAGTTCAGATCCTTCACCAAGCCCTCAAGCTGGATGTTTGTACTCAGGGCTCGAGCAACGCAAGCGCTGTTTGCAGCCACCAAATCCTCAGCTGTGCAGGAAGCGGTTTGGTCCCTCCACTCCTCGGTCCGGTATTTGCTGTGGACCACCGCCACTGTAGCTGTTTCTGGAGGAAGAGCCTCCAATACTTCCCTTACGGGCTCCTCCGGGTTTGTGCCCAGAAAGCCGACCTCCTTAGAGGGACGGGGCCTCTTCCTCTTCTGCTGCCCTGACACTTGATCAATTGGCATGGCAGCGAGGGGTGTTGTGACCGGGGCAGTGGCAGGCTCAGTTGGGGCAGGCCTCTTCTCCGAAATGGCCACCCCGGTGGGAATTGTGGTCTGCCTCAGAGCAGGGGGTGGCCTCGCCCAGTTGGAAATTTTGGAGGGGCGGCACTCTTTTTGCCCTTTCTTCGAAAGTCAGCCTCCGGGTCCTCCGGTACCTCCTCTTCTGTCGAAGGCTGAAGCCTCTTACTGGCTTCCACCAAATCCTCCATTTGCTTTTTGTACGAGGAGGAGGAGGCCTTCAACGCCCGTGCCTCTGTCATCATCTTCTGGATGGTCTTAAAGTTGGTGTGCACCGACATCTTCTTATTAAAGTTGTCTGCAAAGAGCGAATAAGGAATTAGTACAAGTGTTGAGAGTTTGGAATAAAAAGCAAAGACTTCGGTCCAGTTACCTTGGAATGCCATCACATCGTAAGTAATGAAGTGGATGTTCTTTCGGATCAGCCTATGGTATGACCTCTTCTTTTGAGGCAGCTGATAAATGATGCAGATGGTTTCAAAATCCTTGAATGACAACTCGCACCAAGGAAGTGCACCTACAAAGGAAATGTAAATGTTAGGCACAATTCGAACCGAAGAGAAATATAAGGAAAAACAACTACTATACTCACTAAGTGTTGAGTACTTCGTCGGGACCATAAGAGGCGCCAGGGGGTCCCCCTCCATCGTGTCCCATCGCCCTACGGCCCAGCACCATGAGCTCTTCCATTCTTTGATGGAGCTCGGTAGATCAAGCACGAATGGAGTATGGGAACCCCATGAAGTAAGGTAATACCATCCCCGGGTCTTAACCCCCCGGCAGTAACCTTAGGTATATAAATGGTCTGGAAGACGGAGAGGGGCATCTCCACCCCTAATAACGCCTCTTTCCACAACATCCAAGAGCCCACCATTTGGCTCCAGGAGTTCGGATTGAGCTGCGTCGAGGCTAGCCCATAAGATCTAAGCACCATCCTAAAGAATGGGTGAACTGGTAGCCTAAGTCCGGCCCTAAGGATCGCCTCGCTAATGGATACACAGCCCGGTCTAGGGTAGCAGGTTTTCTCTTCCGGCCCGGGGAGGATCAAATCTATGCTATCAGGGATCCTATACTCTGTCCTAAGTCTCCCCAGGTCGACCTCTCTTAATTTGGATGGGTAGTCCGATGCCCTCCAATGCACCGAAATATCTGCTGGGCTATCTGGTCGCTTCCATATATTTTTCCCCCTATTATTGTCTCGTCTATTTCTGAGGAGGTCGCAACAATGGGCTCGTCCATCCTTACTAGCTCTAACCCCCTCCCCAAACCAGAACTCCCCTCTGAGGCCATTCTTTCAAAATTTAAAAGCCCTAAAAGGTACTGAAACTTACGGGTTTGAAGGTTTTCCTAGCCGGAAATGGTGTAAGGTCGCCGGAAGTTCAATTTTCTCGTCGGAATTGCTTAGAAAACGCCGAAAATCACCAATGACTTGAGAGCAAAATATATATGGTTATCTCACAAGGATAGAAAGCCTGAGAAAACCTCGGAGTCCCCCTTTTATAGAAAGACAAATCCGATCTTCACCGTCGAATTCAAATGCGATCAATCTAAGCCGTTCATCGCATCTTTAATCTAGGCCATTGAAATGAAATGCCACATTTGATCTATGCCCAAGATGTCGCTGTCACATTCACGCTTGCTTAAAACGCATCACCTCGATTACAACCAGCCGTCAATAATAATAAGTAGCCGCAGTAGCCTTTTAGGAGAATGGGCATAGCACCCAACTGTCACATTGGAAACACACAACAGTTGTCAAATCATTTGACGTTTGAATTGCCTCGAATCAACTCCTCACTCAACTTTACAAAACTTGGACGTACCTGACGTGAAGCTCCCTGTGGGTAATCACCTCGGCTGCTGCGTTTCCTCCCATGCTTTACAAAGTTTTAGCCATCTCCCAACGCGTCGGCCCTGTGGGTGAGCGCACCGGTGGCAGATGAGCTCCTCACTCAACTTTACAAAGCTTGGATGCACCTGACGCGAAGCCCCCTGTGGGTAATCGCCTCGGATGCTGCGTTCCCTCCCATGCTTTACAAAATTTTAGCCATCTCCCAATGCGTCGGCCCTGTGGGTCAGCGCATCGGTGGCAAATGAGCTCCTCGCTCAACTTTACAAAGCTTGGATGCACCTGATGCGAAGCCCCCTGTGGGTCATCGCCTTGGATACTGCGTTCCCTCCCATGCTTTACAAAGTTTTAGCAATCTCCCAACGCGTTGACCCTATGGGTCAGTGCACCGGTGGCAGATGAGCTCCTTACTCAACTTTACAAAGTTTGGACGCACCTGACGCGAAGTCCCCTATGGGTCATCGCCTCGGATGCTGCGTTCCCTCCCATGCTTTACAAAGTTTTAGCCATCTCCCAACGCGTCGGCACTGTGGGTCAGTGCGCCAGTGGTAGATGAGCTCTTCGCTCAACTTTACAAAGTTTGGACGCACCTAACGCGAAGTCCCATGTGGTTTACCGCCTCGGATGCTGCGTAGGAAAATTTTGCACATCTGCCTAGAATCATAACCTCGATAACTGAAAAAGATCAACCCCCAAACTCCCACGAGTCGTGGTCCGGTCAGGAAAGCAAGTCCACCCATAATATAAATATTCATACCTGGACTTGGGGGACCACTGTTACGCTCCGATCTGATACGCCTCGGAAGGCGCACTACCATATATTTCGACCTGATAAAAACCCGTCCGAAGTGTTTTCGAAGTGATATCAGCAATGCCTACAACCTAGTAGCGCGCTACTAAGTACAAGCAACCCATACTGCTGACCTGATCGAAGCACCTCGCCCCCGAGGCCGAGGCCAATTGGATCCCGATTAGAAGAATCGCAGCCAATTTCAAAAAGAGATTTGTTCCAAGATCCTTCCTGCACCTAAGGTTTAAATTGATTTGACGTCTCCATGAAGCTAATTGATGTGACTTATCAACTTTATGTCAATTCAACTCAGAAGAAACAAGCTGTCTGCCCACTCTACAGACGCGACTGATTGACGCCTATGAGCGGATGCCTCATACCGTCAGATGTATACACGCGTTCCACATCCAACGGCTCATACCACCTATAAATACCCAAGGTTTGACAAGAGGCAAAGGTAATGAAACTCTTACTACATAGCACTCCATAGCAAGCTTATATATTTTCTCCTCCTCCTTATCATTGATTTGCACAGCCCCTGGGTACTGTTCCGACCACTTAAACCTGAGTTGACCGTCGGAGTGTATACGGCCACCACCACCCTCGCTGGTCCCTGCCGTGTGTGTCTGACCATTCGCTGATTGTGTGCAGGGAGGAATACGTGGAGTAGCCCTCGGTTGGCCAAGTGGAAGGATCAATTTTCGAGGTGAACAATTATATTTCTTTTTATTTTGATATTACTTTTTATATTTTTGTTTTTTTTTTATCTTTTTTATACATTTTTTTCTTTCTTTTTCTATAGTCATATGTATATGGTGTATATAAATTTGAGCAAAAATAATAATTTAATTTCTTTATTTGCTTTGTAGCTACTTCTTCTACACAATATTGTTTCAATTTATCAGTTATAAATTTTATAGTGGCACTTATAGTTATTTCTCTTGTTGGGTTTAACTCTACATCTTTTTTAATTTTATCATTCCATGGTGGTAGTATCTTTCTATATAATCTTTCAAGTATAGGGTAATTTAATGCTAACCCTACTGCACTTGCTAATCTTTCAAAATCTAACAAAAATGGTTGTATGTATTTCATATTAATAATACTTAATTTTTCTAAGTTTTCTAAAGCTATATTTTGTTCATAAGTGTTATTTCTACTGGGATCAGAACTTATAATTAATTTTCTAATAAAACTTGTAAAATTATAGGATTATCTCCTACGGTCATTCTTAATCTAATTTTATCTGATTTTAGTCTTTTTGCTGTAACGTATACATGTAAAGCAGTCTTTCCTAAATAAGTTTCTAAGTAAGCCTAAATTTCTTCTACAATCATTTGTATGGGTACACTGTTATACGCTCTAATTACAGAATTTTCCCATTTAGTTATAGTACTAGGTCTGTCTTGTGGTTTACAATTATTTAACTCTAAGAGTAATCTTTTATTGCTTGTTAATGGTAAACTACATCCTTCTTTCGTTTGTCTTTTTCCTAAACTTTTATATTTTTTATCAGTCGATTTAAAGTCTCTTGCAGGGGAAAATGATATTTACCTTATATATCGTATTCTATATTCATGTGTTCTTTTCTTTTTCTAAATTATTGATCTGTTTCCCTTTTAGCTCTCTTGCTAGTTTCTTCCATCTTGGTTTCTATGTCTATTTGATCTTTTTTTATTAACATTGTAGTTTCTATTTCTCTAGCTTTTCTAAGATTTCTGTAATATTCCATATCTATATATCCAAATTCTTTTTCATCGTCCTCTCGCTTTCATCTTCTTCACTTTCTTCATCTAAAGAATTAATTTCGTCTTCACTTTCGTAGTCTTCTATTTCAAAATATCCACATTCTCATTCATTTTCTTCTTCATTATGTTGTGTCTATTTTGTTTGATAATTATAATTTCCAAATCTAATACTTAAAGCTCCATTACTATTTTTGTACATTGTATTATTTTCTGGTACTAATATTAGTTTTTGTAGAAATTTTCCTAAATTCCAATATAATCCTGCATATGTTTCTGAAGAGAACTTCTCTGCTGGGATAGCCTTTATACCTTTTTGTCCTAATAGTATAATTATTTATTATTTTCTAATTTATAATTAATAGTACTATTTTCACTAAGTCTTCCTCTGAATCCTGTGCAAATTAATAAATTATCATCATCTCTTTTCATTTGATATCCTTTGCTTTTTATTTCGATTTTAATATATTTATAGAAATTCTTTGTTATAACTAAATAGTCTGGTTTAAAACTATTCCGCCATTATTATTCATATCTAATTCTATGCTTCCTAATAATCCTTGTTCTATATCCGTGAATCTGCTATCATATAAACATAATAATACTTTAGCTTCTAAATTTTCTCATTGAAACCCTTTTACTCCTATTATTATTAATCCTAAATGAGTCTGTTGAAGATTTTTATTAACGATTTCTTTATAAGATTCTTTTTTATTAAATTTGGAGATATAAAGTGATCTTCATGTGTACAAGAAACATATATTTCTCCATAATGCTGATATATTAAAGATTTGCTAAATAAATTTTCTTTTTTATATGTGTCTAAAGCTTTCACTAATTTCAGTTTATTTTATCTAAACATTTTTATTTGTTCTTCGATTTTAATCTTGTTTCGGATTCTTTTTTTTCTACTTAATGTTCATGATAAATGATTATCTACTAATTTACTACTACTGGCTACGATGTGTTTTCCTTTATCCATTATGTATAGATCCACTTAATTTTCTTAAATCTACTAGATTCTTCAGTTTTACCTAAATCTAGTTTTTCTAGTTTATTTATTATATGATCTAAATCTTGTATATTATTTGTCGACTTTTCTTTATCTAATGCTTTAACTATGCTTTTCAATTTTTCTAGGTTAGGACTAGATTTTGTTTCTCCTATATTATTAGATTTTTTTTTTTTAGTATTTCGGTATTTTGATTTTTAATATATTCTAGATTAGTTTTTAAATTCTTTATATTTTTATTTTTATTTATATTTTCTAATAAAGCTTCTACTCTTTTATTTGAACAGTTCCTTTCTAATTTTTCTCCTAAGTTTACAAGTCTACAATACTATTTAACTGTTTATCTTCACAATGTAAAGTATGTCTAAACTTATTATCAAAATTACATATTAGAAAAGCTACTTCTAAATTATCTTTTCTTTTATAGTTTCCTAAAATTTCTAAATTAAAATACTCGATTATTTTCATAAACTATATAATTTTTTTAATGTTATAGGCTCTGACACCAATTCAAGATTGAGAAAGACTTTTTCTTTGAAAGTAGTATTTGTAATAAATTCTTCGCAAGAAAATTCTTGTAGCAAATGGTGTTTGTCGAAAAATGAAAATGAAAACACTCTGAAAATGACAACTAAAATGGTACTAATTCGGGAGCAAGACTTAAAAGAAAATTTTGAAAATGACAAGCAAGAAAATTTTCTACGTAAATATCAATTAGAGTAACTAGAAACTAATAAAATATTCAGGTGGCTATTAATTCAAAATCTTATCTTTGTTTTGAATACCAAATGATTCATAGACTTTTTCTTTCCTAGCAATAAATAATTGTAGAAAAGTTTTCTTGTAGGAAGATGGCAACTAAAAGAAAGTCTTGTAAGAAAAAAACTTGTAGCGAAAAGTCTTTCAAAAATTTTGTTTTTTGAAAATTTACACACGTTTTGAAAACCTAGCAATAAATAAAAAGTCTACTAGCAATTAATTTTTGAAGACAAAAGGTTCGAAAAATTCACCACCAATTTATTTTATCTTTACTACTAAAGTTCAATAGCTAAAAATGTCTAACTAGTTCTACTGAAATTTCTTTTATTATTTTCTCTTATAATCTTTGCTTATCGTTGTCTTTCTTTACAATTTTTAGGATCTTTTATCAAGAAACTCTGACACTGAAAGATAGTGAGCTCGGTGATTTGCTTCTTGATCTGTAAAGATGGGTCACCTCTATTTTTATCTAGAGTGGATAAAATATGACTTCCTACAACGACTAATCTTCCTATTTCTCTATTTTCTAAACAAGTATTAATATATTCGTTAAAACTTTCCAATGAATAAGTAAATAAGGCAGTGTAATTTAAAGGCATAAAATTAATTTGTTCAGACTTTTTTTTTAAACTCTTTCTTAGTTTTTTTCTTGACCTTTTAAAGTATCATGCTTAAAAAGACTTTAACAAATTCCCACAATTGGGACACAAATTAGCCAACTTAACTAAGAGGATTACTTTATCTTTTAGCCATGAAATCCAGAATAAAGAAGTTAAGAACGTTAAAAATATGTTTTTGAAATGGAAATAAAATATTATTTGTGAATAAATTAATTGTTTACTTGGTGTTTCCCCTTTTAGGCCTCGTCTGAAAAATAACTAAAGTAAACGAAAATTATAAACTAGAGAAAATATGAAAAGAACCTACTTTAATTACGAAGTCTTTGAATTTGCAAGGATGTCTTTGAAGAAATTAGTTTGCTGAACGGTAAAGTACTCAAAGACCATTACAAGCATATCGTTTTAAAGTTCTAATATTTTATTCCTTTACATTACATTGCTTTACTTACTTGTTCATTAGAAAATTTTGACGAATATATTATTACTTGTTTAGAAAATAGAGAAATATGAAGATTAATCGTTGTAGAAAGTCATATTTTATCTGCTCTAGATAGAAATAGAGTTGATCCCTCTTTATAGATCAAAAAGCAAATCACTGAGCTCTCTATCCCTCAATGTCGGAGTTTCTTGATAAAAGATCCTAAAGAATGTAAAGAAAGACAACAACGAGCAAAGATTATAAGAGAAAATAATAAAAGAAATTTCAGTAGAACTAGTTAGACATTTTTAGCTATTGAACTTTAGTAGCAAAGATAAAATAAATTGGTGTAGAATTTTTCAAACTTTTTGTCTTCAAAGATTAATTGCAAGTAGAATTTTTATTTATTGCTAGGTTTTCAAAACATGTGTGAATTTTCTAAAGACAAAATTTTTGAAAGACTTTTTGCTACAAGTCCTTTACTCACAAGACTTTCTTTTAATTGTCATTTTCCTACAAAAAAAATTTCTACAAATATTTATTGCTAGGAAAGAAAAAGTCTAGGAAACATTTGGTATTCAAAACAAAGACAAGATTTTGAATTAATAGCCACCCAAATATTTTAGGAAAAATTGCAGCCGAGGTATCAAACATTTCGTTTATTAGCAGACTTTACCCAAACCTTTAGTTTGCGCCACCCACAATCCCAAACCTTTCAAAAATATGCACCGGGGGTTCAAACCGTTAATTGACTAGAAAAGTCAAAATTTGACCAATTTGGACCAAATTAAAAAGAGCAAAGTGGTACTTTGCATTTTTTTTCTTAATATTAATAATTAAAATAATTAATAATAACAATAGAAAAGTAAAAACAAAATAAATAAAAATCAAAGAAAAGAAAGGGAACACTGTTCATCTTCATCTTCGCCCCGCCCCGCCCCAGCCCAGCCCAGAATCTTATTTTTGAAAGTACCAGAATCTTATTCACTGGCTTCACTTACCATTTGCAATGGTCCCTGATCACTGGTATGATATCAATGGAGTTTTGACCAGGTCCGCCACAATTCTTCCTGACGATCAGATTGTGATGCTTTACACTGGAGATACATATGATGTTGTGCAGGTGCAGTGTTTAGCTTATCCCGCCAACCTATCTGATCCTCTCCTGCTTGATTGGGTCAAGTATTCGTGTAATCCGGTTCTGGTTCTCCCACCCGATATTGGAGAAAAGGACTTTAGAGACCCGACTACTGCTTGGCTTAGCCCAGATGGTGATAAATGGCAGATCACGATTGGATCCAAGGTTAATACAACGGGTATTTCACTTGTGTATGACCATGCCACCCGTGTCGGCTACAGAAAGAGCTTAAAGAATGGTAGGTGAATCCGCCGACGGGTTTCAAGCACAAAGTAACGGATAATCTGCAGAGGTTTTTGTTCTTTTCTTTGCAAAGGGTTTTGTTCTTTTCTTTTTAATTTTCTTTGATTTGGTGTTCAGTTTATTTGATTGATTGAAAAGTTGGAAATTTTCGGAGCATTACCCAATGGAAGCTCCTCAGGTGAATATTCAAATGCCAGCGTGGGGTGGGATGGGGTGGGGTGGCGTGGGGTGAAGATGAAGATGAACAGTATTCCCTTTCTTTTCCTTGATTTTTATTTATTTTGTTTTTACATTTCTATTGTTATTATTAATTATTTTAATTATTAATATTAAGAAAAAATGCAAAGTACCACTTTGCCCTTTTTAATTTGGTCCAAATTGATCAAATTTTGACTTTTCTAGTCAACCAACGGTCAAACGGATGGTTTCCATCCATTTGAACGCCCGGTGCATATTTTTGAAAGGTTTGAGACTGTGGGTGACACAAACTAAAGGTTTGGACAAAGTTTGTTAATAAACGAAAGGTTTGGTACCTCGACTGTAATTTTTCCAATATTTTATTAGTTTCTAGTTGCTCTAATTGGTATTTACGTAGAAAATTTTCTTAATTGTCATTTTCAAAATTTTCTTTGAAGTCTTGCTCCCTTTCATTTTAGTTGTTATTTTCAGAGTGTTTTCATTTTCTTTCTTTGACAAACACTAATTGCAATAAGAATTTTTTTGCGAAGAATTTATTACAAAGACTACTTTAAAAGAAAAAGTCTTTCTCCAACAAGGATGGCAATTTGAACTGTTAAAATCGAAAATCGCGGTTAACCGAACCGAATGGGGCAAAAAAATCGAACCGATGGTGCAATGGGGCAGATATGATATTTGATTTTAATGAACCGGTTCATGGCGGTGCGGATATTGTATTTATGCCGTCGAACCGAAACCGAACTGATTACCCACTTAAAAAAATTTATTTTTTTATTAGGGATGACAAGGTTTAGTGAGAAGAAAGTTGATGAAGAAGTACATTTTTTATTTAAATCTTAGTTAAAATAATTCTGGATTAGGTAGTATCATCGTATTCTCTACTTATATTTCTTATTTACTATATAGGAATCAATTTTGAATGCTGCCTTATGCTAGTAAAGTTGTGAGGAAGAATGAAAATTGAACATGAGTTAAGGTTGAAACTTTTGAATTATTGAGCACGAATCAAGTAACTACAATGCACAAGAATCAAGAATGAAGGAAAACTTTAGTATTATTATATTCATAATATTGTTTGTTAAATTTGTATTTTACAATTGAAATTTGGAAAAATGTTTGCATTTTCATTTGGAATATTGTGTTTTTGTTTTCATTGATTCTCTTTTCATAAATTGTTTTATATCAATTTGACAGATGGACCTATAAAAAAAATTTATTTTCATAGTTATTAATCGAGCCGAACCGAACCGATTTACGTGGTTATGATGCGATTATGGTATGACAAAAAAATTGACAGTTCGATAATGGTTTTGGTCGAACCGAATAGAAACCGAACCGTTGCTATCCCTAATCTCCAAACTTGAATTATATATGTATAGGAGAAGACCCTATAAAACATTGGGATAAAAATAAAATAGAAACTAAATTAGAAATAATAAATGAAAACATAAAAATTAGAACAGCAGAAATAAAACATACGAATCAATATATAGAAGATTTTAACATACAGATTAAAGAATTATTAGATTTAAAAGTAATAAGATCGTCTAGCAGTTAACACTGATCAGCAGCCTTTATGGTTAGAAATCATAGTGAAATAAAAATAGGAAAAGTAAGAATGGTTATAAACTATAAAAGATTAAACGACAGTACTGTAAAAGATGAATATAAGATACCAGATAAGGATATGCTAATAAATAAAATACAAAATAGCAAGATATTTTCTAAATTTGATTGTAAATCTGGATTGTGACAAATAAAAATGGCAAAAGAATCTATTCCTTGGACAACTTTTATTACTCCATTAGGACACTTTGAATGGTTAATCATGCCTTTTGGATTAAAAAATGTACACTCTATTTTTAAAGAAAGATGAATAGTATATTTAATTCTCTTCCATTTGTTTGTATATATATAGATGATAGTCTAATACATAGTAAAAACTATAAAGAATATATGAAACATCTAGAGATAACCTTAAATAAATTTATAGAAAATGATTTAATTATAAGTAAAAAGAAGATGGAAATAAATAAACAAAAATTTGAATTTTTAGGAATAATTTTAGGAGAGAGAAAGATTCAGTTACAGCCACATATAGTACAGACAATTTTACAATTTTCAGACAAAATTGAAGAAATCAAGAAATTACAAGCCTTTTTAGGAATATTAAATTATGCTAGATATTTTATTAAAGATTTAGGAAGGAAAGTAAGACCATTGTATAGTAAATTATCTAATAAAGGGCAAAAATATTTTAATCAATCAGATATAGAATTGGTTAAAAAGATAAAAGCAGAAGTTAAAAATTTACCACCATTAAAATTATCATTAGATAGTGAATATAAAACAATAGAAACGGATGGATGTGAATTAGGATGGGGGAGGAATTTTATATTTCAAACCAAATAAATATAGTGATAAAAAAAAGAAGAAAAAAATTTGTAGAAATACCAACGAAAAATACAAGATAAAAAGGAAAATATTTAACTAGTTTAGATTATAAAATAATGATCATCATACATAGTATAGAAAGTTTTAAATTATTTTTAAACACTGAATTTACAATTATGACAGATTATGAAGCTATAGTAAAATTTATTAAAAAGACAAATTTTGATAAGATAAGACATAAAAGATTGTTAAAATTATATGAGATATTAAGCAGCTATAAAATTAATATAGAACATATTGACGGAAAAATAATATTTTAATCGATAATTCAAGTAGGCGGGTTATTAGTTTTCTAACTCATTATCTTTATGGTGCAGATGGATCAAATGATGATGAACTTTGAGAATGTCACTTTGAGAGTGGCTCCTCAAAGATCTAATCTTCGATTTAGAGGAAATAAATTAGAAAGACTACCAGAAAGGGAGCGTTGTCTACTGGATAATCTCTGGATGACACGTAACTCTAAACAAAAATTAGACAGCATTAATGCCCTATTTAACCATTTTAGACATATTCATGACCAAGTAGAAAGCAAAGATTTTAGTTTCTTTGCAGTAATTAAAGGTAGAAAGCCTAGAATATATAATTGTTGGCCAGAAGCACTACATCAAGTAGAAAGATTTCTCGATCCCCTTTTCAAAAGATTTTATGCGCTTGAAGAAACTTTAAATTTTTGTAGCGCAATGATATGATTCAATTTTCATATATCCGAAAGAATTAGATAGACCATGCAAACCCCCTCTCAAACTTCATCATCATCTTCATCAATACAACTTTGTGATAGTTGTGAAACTATGACCAAATTTGTTAGAAATTTAAATCTTAGAAAGCATTCTTTAGAAGAAAGACTACAACTCCTCGAAGATCAAATTTCTTCATCCCAACAGGCTATTAGTAAATATCAAAATGAGATTCTTAAATTGCATAATAATTTAGACAGACTTAGTTCTTCTAAAAATACACTTGAAAACCCATTTCTAAAGACATCGTCTCTACAAGTAGAAGTTATTTTGATAAAATATAAAGGCTTATTGAACTAACAGATTCTACAGCTACAGGATAGGAAAAGACTTTATACGAATTAGAACAGAAAATTGGTGATTACCCCAGTATTGTTCAAAGTTCTATAAAAAATTTCGCTATACAGGAAATTATAGATTTTGCTCAAATTTTAAGTTACTATCATAATGAAAATATATACTTCCTTAGACATGGTCCCAAATACGATGCAGCCCAAAATTCAGCCTTCCTTAAACACAATTATCCAACAATTTCCTTTGATTATACAATCTTTGAAGAAGAAGACCTCTTTACCCAGCTTTATAGTTTGGTATGATAGATACTATATACATATTAAACAGATCTTTCCTATTTTCCACCAAAACTTAAACAGATTCTTGATCAGTTAAAAGACCATCCCTTAATGGTTCAATTCATTTCCATACCCCCTCATGTAAATAATGGCATTGTAATACTAGTTTATCATCGTATTTTAATTTATGAAGGAGCCAAAAGATTTAGACCCTCTTCAAGGATGAATATTAAAATAAAAATTAGATAGATTAATTATGAAAGAAAAATATCAAAAATCGCAGCCATGATGGAAGTTCAAAATAATGATTTCAGATTAGTAGCACAATGAAATAACGGAATTATTTTCTGCCAAGAGCACCTTGCCTTGAGAACTAAAGTAGAAAAAATTCTAGAATCAAATATTGAACAAAAGAATTTATATCTGATGACGTTTCAAGAGACTAATGGATAATTTACAGAAACCCCGTCAGAAACTGAAGAGGAAGCATGTATATCTGATGACAACGATAATGAGATGGATCCAGAACTAGAAGAAACCATAGCAGAAATGATGGACAGATAAAGATGAGATAGAAAGATGGAGAAATAATTAGCAAGACAAGGAAGTAAAAAAGAAGAGGCGTAAAGATAAAGCTTTAAACATATTTCAAATATTCTCTACAAAGTTGACTCTCATAATTCAAGAAAAGTTAGGCGTGAAAACAAAAATTGTCAAAAGTATCTTTTCAAATAATTCATTCTTTAATTACTCACATGGAGAATTGCACATTATTTATTTTTCTTTGATTTCTGATCGCACACCTGTAAAGTTTGCACAGTATTTTTCAATTATTGATAGCACACTTACAGCACCAACAGAATAGACGTGATGTACCAGCGTCTATAAAAACCCACACCTCTCACGAAAGAAATCACATCGAAAAAAAAGCGCACTATCACACTTGTACTCAAAACTTTATCCACCATCTTTATAAATTCAAAGACTTCGTAATTAAAGTAAGTTCTTTTCATATCTTCTATTGTTTATAATTTGTGTTTACTTTAGCTAATTTTCGAGCAAGGCCTAAAAGGGGAAACACCAAGTAAGCAATTGATTAATCAATTCACAAATAGTATTATATTTTTGTTTCAAAAATATAATTTTAATGTTCTTAACCTCTTTATTCTGGATTTCATGGTCAAAAGATAAAGTAATCCTCTGAGTTAAGTTGGCTAATTTGTGTCCCAATAGTGGGAGTTTGTTTAAGCCTTTTTAAACATGATGAAAATCTTTTTGACTACAATCTTAAGCCTTTTTTAAAAGGTCAAGAAAAAAGTTAAGAAAGAGTTAAAAAAAAGTACGAAGAAATTAATTTGCTGAACGATAACGTACTCAAAGACCATTACAAACATATCGTTTTAAAATTTTAATATTTTATGTTTTTAAATTATACTGTCTTACTTACTTGTTCGTTGAAAAAATTTAACGAATATATTAATACTTGTCTAGAAAATTTAGACATAGGAAGATTAGTCGTTGTAGGAAGCCATATTTTATCCGCTCTAGATAAAAATAGAGGTGACCCTTCTTTACAGATCAATAAGCAAATCACTAAGCTCTCTATCTCTCAGTGTCGGAGTTTCGTGATAGAAGATCCTAAAGATTGTAAAAAAGACAACAACGAGCAAAGATTATAAGAGAAAATAATAAAAGAAATTTCAGTAGAACTAGTTAGACATTTTTTTTAGCAATAAACCTTTAGTAGCAAAGACAATAGAAATATACTTATATACTCTTGGTCGTAGTAATTTAAAGTGCAAACTTTTTAAATCGAATTAATTAAGTGTAAAAATCTTACCAAATTAGTAGACCTTCTCTAGAAAATATTTATTGGTAGGAAGAAATTTGTATTTCAAAACGTGTAAAATTTTTAAGAGAAAGATCTTATTAATAAGTCCTCTTCATATTTATTAGAAAGAGAAATTTTTGAAAAGCAAGTCATTTTCATATTAGTTAAAGAACATTTTTTCAAACTTTTGGTAGGAAGATTTATGTAAATTTTGTAGACTTTGTCATTTTCATTAATGACGCTTTCAAGTTTGTTAAGACTTTTTTAGAGTTTTTCTTATATTAGAATCCCCTGAATTGGTATCCCAATAATTATCCCAAGAATTGGTATCATAGTCTATAACAGTTAAAAATTATATAGTTTATGAAAAGAATCGAGTATTTAAATCTAGAAATTTTAGGAAACTAAAAAAGAAAAGATAACTTAGAAGCAACTTCTCTAATCTATAATTTTGATAATAAGTTTAGACATACTTTACATAGTGAAGATAAACAGTTAAATAGTATTGTAGACTTACTTGTAAATTTAGGAGAAAATTTAGAAATAAACAATTCAAATAAAAGAGTAGAAATTTTATTAGAAAATATAAATAAAAATATAAAGATTTTAGAAACTAATCTAAAATATATTAAAAATCAAAATACTGAAATATTAAAAAGAAAATCTAATAATATAGGAGAAACAGAATCAAGTCCTAACTTAGAAAAATTAGAAAGCATTAGAAAAAGAAAAATCGACAGATAATAGATAAGATTTAGATAATATAATAAATAAACTAGAAAAACTAGATTTAGGTAAACCTAAAGAACCTAATATATTTTAAAAAACTAAGTGGATCTATACATAATGGATAAAGGAAAACGAATTGTAGCCAATAGTAGTAAATTAGTAGGTAATCTTTTATTAAGAACATTAAGTGGAAAAACAGAATCCGAAATAAGACTAGAATCTTTAATAAATATAGAAGAACAAATAGAAATATTTAGAGAATAAATAAAATTAGTAAAAGCTTTAAACATATATAAAAAAAAAAAGGAATTTTATTTAGCAAATCTTTAATATATCAGCATTATGGAGAAATATATGTTTCCTGTACACATGAAGATCAATTTGTATCTCTAGATTTAATAGAAAAATAATTTTATAAAGAAATCGTCAATAAAAATCTTCAACATACTCATTTAGGATTAATGATAAGAGTAAAAGGGCTTCATAGAAAAAAATTTAGGAGCTAAAGTATTAGTATGTTTATATGATAGCAGATTCACTGATATAGAATAAGGATTATTAGGAAGCATAGAATTAGATGTGAATAATAAAGGCGGAATAGTATATTTTACACCAGATTATTTAGTTAGAACAAAGAATTTCTATAAAGATAATAAAATAGGAATAAAAAGCAAAGAATATCAAATGAAAAGAGATGAGGATAATTTATTAATTTGCACAGGATTCATAGGAAGACTTAGTGAAAATAGTACTACTAATTATAAATTAGAAAATAATCAAATAATTACACTATTGGGACAAAACGTTATAAAAGCTATTCCAACAAAGAAATTCTCTTTAGACTGGAACTTAGGAAATTCTCTTTAGACTGGAACTTAGGAAATTTTCTACAAAAACCAATATTAGTACCAGAAAATAATATTTTGTACAAAAATAGTAATGAAACTTTAAGTATTAAATTTAGATATTATAATTATCAAGCAGAACAGACACAACATAATGAAGAAGAAAGTGAAGGGGAATGTCAATATTTTGAAATAGAAGACTATGAAATTGAAGACGAAATTAATGTTTTAGATGAAGAAAGTGAAGAAGATGAAAGTGGGGATGATGAAAAAGAATTTGGATAAATAGATATGGAATATTACATAAATCTTAAAAAAACTAGAGAAATAGAAACTAGAATGTTAATAGAAAAATATCAAATAGATATGGAAACCAAGATGGAAGAAAATAGCAAGAGAGCTAAAATGGAGACAAATTAAGAATTTGAAAACAGAAAAGAACCCATGAATACAGAATACAATATAGGAGGTCCGTTAGTAAGCGATAGATGATTAATCTTAGAGTTAAATAATTATAAACCACAAGACAGACCTAGTACTATAACAAAATGGAAAAATTTTGTAATTAAAGCGTATAACAATGTACCTATACAAATGACTGTAGAAGAAATGTGGACTTATTTAGAAACTTATTTAGGAAAGACTGCTTTAGATGTATACTTTATAGCAAAAAGCCTAAAACCAGATGAAATTAGATTAACGGTGACTAGAGGAGATAATCCTAGAAATTTTACAAGCTTTATTATAGAATTAATTATAGGTTCTAATTCCAATAGAGATAACACTTATGAACAAAGTAAAGATTTAGAAAACTTAGAAAAATTAAGTATTAATAATATGAAATACATACAACCATTTTTGTTAAATTTTGAAAGATTAGCAAGCGTAGCAGGATTAACATTAGATTACCCTATACTTAAAAGATTATATAGAAAGATAACACCACCGTGGAATGATAAAATTAGAAAAGGTGTAGAGTCAAACCCAACAAGGGAAATAACTATAAGTGCCACTATAAAATTTATAACTGATAAATTTAAACAAATTGTGTAGAAGAAGTAGCAAGAAAGCAAATAAAGAAATTAAATTATTCTTTTTGCTCATATTTATATACACCACAGACATATGATTATAGGAGAAGAAAGAAATTTTTTTATAAAAAAGATAAAAAAAAAATTTAAAAAGTAATGTCAAAATAAAAAGAAATATAATATTAGACCAACTATGATATACTATAAAAATAAAAGATCCAACTATAATAGATATGTTAGAAAACCAAAAACTAAAGAAGACTGTAAATATTATATTTGTAGAGACCCTAGACATTTTGCTAATAAATGCCCAAATAAATATAAAAATAAAGAAAATGCAGTTAAATTTATGATAATTGAAGAAATACAGTGTAACATAATAGAATTATCCGATAAAGAATCTTGTAACTCAATATATAATATTTACATAGATGAAGAGTTAGATAATTCAAAAATAACAAGTAATTCTGAAGACAGTTATGATATTTTAGAAGAACTAGATTTTTCAGTTTTAGATATATAGATGATGAATGTAGAACAAGAATGTATCCATGAATGGATTAGAGAACAATGATCAATGATGGATAAATGTAAAATATGCAGAATATACACATGACACAAAAATAGAAATCAGTGTAAGAATTGTCTAGAAATTCAATGCAATAATTGTTTAGGTATTAAAGAAGAAATAAATAATAATAATAATAATAATAATAATAATAATAATAATAATAATAATAATAATAAAGACTACAGTGAAAGTATATAAAGAATGGAAAATAAAATAATATAATAGATAAAATACACAAAACATTAGGAAAAATACAATACAAGATCAGAAATCTAGAAACAAAAAAAAAAACAGCCTATAGATAATTATACAGAAAATAATTATTTGGAAACAGAAAATCAGGAAGAAATAATTTGTCAAATATTTAGAGTAAAGACAGTAAAAAGTATCAGAATACCTACAGAAGTACAGATAAATTCTTCAATTCTTGGGATACCAATTCGGGGGAAAAAACTCTAAAAAATTCTTAACAAAATTGAAAACGTCTTTAATGAAAATGACAAAGTCTACAAAATTTACGTAAATCTTCCTACCAAAAGTTTGAAAAAATTTTCTTT